TACATTCATCTCTCAATTAATTAACTTAGGTAAGGTACCCAATAAAATTAAGAATATTTTATAATCATTTTATTCTCTTAATAATCCTATATATGTCTTTCAAGTCAAAATTATAATTAAGTCTCAATAAAAAAATGTTAAAATAGACAACATCTCATTAAATAACTTATATCTCAAAAAATAGATCATATGTTAAGTTGCATTTATTATATTATTAGTATAAAAATATTAAACAATTTTAAATTTTAATAAAAAATGTATATTTAATATGTTAAATAAAACTTTCTAATCAAATAGTTAAATTGTATATAGAAATATGTTGTATTTATAAAGATTGATTGAACAGGGAAACTCTCAATTTATATCCCTAGACAAACTAGATTTCTACCTAAATTATATGGAGAAATTAAATTGCGTTGATATAACTTACATTAATTATTACAATATTGATATGTTATACCGTTTATTTTCAAATTTAAATGATGTTATTTTAAATTCTTAACTGCCAAGGTGACATTCATTTTAATTTCTTTATTTATGATATTTAGGTATCTTTGTTAAATAAATTTTATTTTAATAATATTTAATTTCTTAATTTTATTTGGGAGTAGATTAGAAGTATGAGACGTAGATTTATTAATTCTCATTTTTTATTTTTTATTAATAAAATATATAAAATTTTCCATGTCTAACAAAAAGTCAATTATAATGACCAAATCATTACTCTTTACATTTTTTCTTTCTAAAGAAGAACTTCCAGATTGATTTGTTTTCTCTTTTCTTCATAATCAGTAATTTAGAATCTCTCTCTAGCAAATGATTAATGCAAAGAAATTCGTCTGATATCAATCATTACATGTAGCTAAGATTATAATCAAATCAAAGAAGAAGAAAAGGAAGAAAATCTTTAAGTGGCCCCCTTGGACGTGGCCGGATAACTAGAATTATGGCTAAACAAGCTTTTTATTGATCTTTTCTCCTTCATGATATTGTATATATTTGGATTCTCCAAAATGCAATAGATATACTTCATGTTCTGCTGCCGTTCGAAATCTGAGACGCGTTCAACAAATCTTAACAGAAAACCGTGTTGACATGTTTTCTGTTTTGAGTTCTAAGGGACGATAATTATTTTATGAGAATATCAATATTTTTAATACATGGTTATACAATCATGCTCAAACCTACCACAAACGAACCTCATGATATGTTAGTTAGTTGTACCCACAGAGCATTAATTGTTCAAAGTGAAGGCGTATATGTAGCAAAAAAACAGATTATTTAGCTTCTTGAGCACATGCATTAAGTTGACAAGAATGTTGAAATCGACCAAAATTCCCACACCTTGAAATTTTATAAACTCAATATAATTATAATTTGTTAATTTACTATATTATATTATTACTCTTCAAGTCTGCGATTAATAATTAATGAAGTCCTGAGACTCGAAAAGCTTTTCTTCACATGTAAGGATGATGACTGGTATATAATAAAGGTCGTAAAGCAATTAAGAACATTTAATTATTTATTAAAATACATGACAAAAGAAATTAAGAAACAAAAAATTTAAATATTTTATTTAGAAGTAATGAGATCTTGTATATACACACACTAATACGGCAATATCTTATTAATTCAAGTGGATCCGCCACATATAATTAAGTCGTATGGACATAGCCCATGGGATGGTGCAAATTAGGTTTCTTAAGGCAACCAGCAGCGACCTCGATTATTGACACCTGTGAACATGCCATCAAGATGTTGAATTGACAAAATATATATGAAATAAGACACCCCGATTTTTTAAAATAAAAACTACGTTGGTTTCCGACGTAAACAATTTTGTATGCTTTTTTCATTGAATCAATGTTACGTTATGAAACTGTCAATGGACTTATTTGTCTACAATTTAGTATCAAGAGATAAAACAAATCCGAAAAATAAATTGTATTCTTTAATTCCTATACTTATAAACACCGTGTTTTGTTACAAGTGAAAACGGGTTTTACTTCTTTAATATTGTAGTCTTAATAAACTCCTGGGATTGATTTCAAAATTTGTGTATGAAAAAAAAAATACTATTTAATTTATGCAAGACTCAAGTGGAAATTTATACATTCATCTCGAATGAAATGTGCAATTACCTTGATTTTTTATTATACAAGTAATAAGTGCAGTGGAATGCTAACGACACTTATTCTAGCATTTTTTTAACTAAATTTTTGTAAAAATTAATTAAATTTTTTATTAATTTTACATCCTATCTAATGAATCTTTATTGATTTAGTAATAAGAATTATTAAAATGTGAGTTTTAATTAATAGTATAGAGAGTAATAATTAATATAAAAAAATGTGAGTAGCATTTCTTCGAGTGACCAAATTCAATAAATTAAACTCTATATATCTGGAAGAAGAAAAAAGTCGGAATCATCAATTTCATCATTGCACTAGCTAATATATATGTGACAAATACCCCCAAAGAAAATGAAAATAACCTCTATATAGTTGTTTAGTTGCACTATTGTCTTAATGATTTACTGCTGACTAGTCAGGGAAGAAGAATAAAATGATTTTCTCAAAATTTTCTTTAGACCTGTTGGACAGCCCTAGAGAGTACAATAAATACGCTGATCCAATAATAACTGGTATTTTTGGTGTTAGCTAGAAGTACAATAAAAACAAAATAATGTATGTTAATCAAATAAAATGTTTGGTTTAAATTATTTGATTTTTTTTTAGTTTTATTGATATTTTGAAAGAGCTTTTAATTTGGAAAATTAGTAATTATTTCCTATAAAAAAAAATTCCCACACATGCTTAAAATTTATATATATATTTAATTTAATTCATGGGATGATGAATTCAATCTTACCGCCCTCAGCATGTTCTTCTAAATAAAAAATTGAATAACTAATTCTATATATATCATTGATTTATGAGACAAGCAACGCCAATCAGATCCATGTTTAATGGTTGTTAAATGTAACTACGAACATAGATATAGTAATTATTCTCTCGGTATCATTTTGTACCCAATATTTTAGCTTAAAATTTGGTTGACATGACTTGGATATTCAAGTTTTTTTCGCAATTAATGTTAAAAATAAATTAACTAACAAACAAACAAAACACAATTTTATTTACTTTAAATTATTGTTGTTGTAAAAGGAATTAACTTAGGTTTAGAATAAATTAAAACACACACATACACACAAACCTTTTTTTGTTTTTTTTGTTTTTGGTACACAAACGTTTAGTGAAAAATTAAAGGTTGTTTATTGAAAAAAAGTCATCGATCGAGGTCGTTAGTAGATTCGATTTAGTTGGAAAGAGAATCACCTAGATTTATCCGGTTCATGTTGTTTTGTTATTATGCGAACCCAATTTGGTACATATGAATATACATTTTTATTCGCATATTATTCTCAAATAAATGATACGGAATATTAATTATACCCTAGTTTTGCGATAGGTTGGTGCTTAAAAAATTGTATGAGTGCGTTGTAGACTTGTAGGGAAGATATATGATTTCTATTATTCAAGTGTGAACGCATGACCATAACAGGAGTTATAAAGGCAGGGTCTGCTGTTGCTAACATGGGCATAGACAATTAGGAATGAAGATTAGGGGTCTATTAGCTAACTTGACACTATTTTATTTTTCATTATAAAAACACTATTTTGCTTCTATTCTTTTTTAAATATATAAATATTTAAAAACAAAAAATATAGAAATATTACATTTTTGTAATTGTAAATAAAGCTAAAAATATTTTCTCAAACCAAATTGTTAAAGAAGATTATTTTTTCTCCAATAAATGATGTAGTATCTCTATAGATTGAAGAAACAAAAAAATGTACGAGTCTGGAAGCTGGGCTAGCGTGTGGAAGCGACATATGTGATTGAACTGCATGCGTCAATTTAGTGAACGTGTCATGTGTGTGTGGGTGAACTGAGAATGTACGTGATGACTAATTAGGTAGAGTGATCCTGGGATTTCACCACCTCAACGAAATTCCAAACATCAATTCAAACAGCTTTTGGCTTTCTTAATTCTCTAAAAGTGACTCAAAACAAAAGGATACTCTAATTGAGCCAGCACATACATACGTACTCCTCACCGCAAAAGATGTTGGAGACAAATTTACTTTTTCAGCACTGATGATTATGATTACTCCCAGAAAGTTCAACATACCTAAGTGTTTTTCAACAGTTTAAAATATGATTTCTTGCAAGGAACTCCAGCGCACTTTTTGATTGCGTAGTTGGTTGCCAGATTTTTAAAAAGTGTAATTCCATTTTTTAAACTTCATCAACGTCTTCCCCCACAGATTTCCGACTTATATATTATTTTATACTATTATCCATCGTTATTCTATAATTCTTTTCCTAATCACAACATTACTGAAATTTTACATTTTTACTTGGTTTAAGCGTAGCCCTTTCTTACGGTCCAAGAGAAAAAGGTGGAGGTCGCTCGATTCGACCTTGTCTTAAAGCTAGCATTAACCCATATAACCCATAAAAAAAATTGTTAATATATGAAACCTTATTGACTTTTTGTCCTCTGACCCACTCACTGCAAATTCTCCTATTCATACGCCTTGAAAAATGTTATGGTTGAAAACGGTGAAACGGGTACGAAGGTCGGTTTGTTGAAAAGTGACCGTCAACGGCCGTTTATCTCGCCGGTGCCACTAATTACGTACAAGTAAGCTCTTATAAGCACTGCGCCTGTTCAACACATGGCAGGGAAGAAGCTACAAGCATACACATAATACTAATATAGTATAACATGATATTAATTAATATAGGAGTATCAAACTTTGTAATTATGAGATTTTTTGGTAACATTATTCTATTATTTAAGCTGTGATCACATTAGCTAACATTATACAGTAATCAAACTTTCTGGTTGATTATACCAAGAAGATTTGCATATGATAGGGGGGATTAATTAATCATTAATAATTAATAATATAAATCAAACTCTTCATTAATGACTGAGATATGGAACAACTTATACAAATTATGAAGGCTGACTAGAAAAGCCCACACACTTCACATCCACATGGACAGAGTGCTTTTTCTCTCTACATAAAAAAATAATAATAATAAAGAAAAACTAAATGGACATTCTTTTGGACTACTCCACCAAAAATATTGGGGAGACCAAAAAAGAAAAAAGAAAAAAGAAAAAAGAAAAAAGAAAAAGTGAAATGAATTTGTGCATGGGTACAGGACCAGGCTAACGTTCTTCCTGTTCACGATGATGATCGCGAGACGATAACCGGAAAACCCACTTGGTGAGAGACTTTCTCTTGTTGCTAAACAGAGGACTAGTCCTCTGAGTGCAAGTGGACTCTGCGACGAAGGCTTTGAAGCGCTTCATGGCCAATCCGAGAGTGTCCTCGGACATGTTAGCGAAACAGACGCGGAACCACCCTGGCTCGGTGCAATGGCACGACGACCCAGGGGAAATGTTTAACCCAACTTTGTACACTATCTTCTTCCACAGCTCCATCTCCGCTTCGAAAGTGTTGGAATGCAAAAGGTGCCTCATGTCAACCCAGCAGAACAACCCCGCATTGCTCTCCAGGCAAGAAATACCAGCTTTTTGTAACCCCGAAACCAGCATTCTGTGTCGTCGTTTAAGCCTCCTCTGGTTCTCAGCGGTGTAGTTTCGTCTGAACTTCTTGTCCCCCAGCATGGCAGAGAGCAGGTACTGCGTTTGCGAGGAGACAAGCCCGAAGCTCGACATCTTGGTTGCCGCGGCAACCACAGTGTCGTTTTCGGAGTAGATGGCGCCCACGCGGAACCCCGGCAAACCCAAGTCCTTTGAGAGACTATAGACCACGTGAACTCTGTCCCAGACTTCGTCAGCCACGTCGTTTCGCTCCTTCAGGATCTCCATGACGCTGACGAAGCCCGGGGAGCTAAAAACGGTCCCGGAGTAAATCTCGTCGCTTATCAAATGCATGTTGTTTTTCTCTTTGATGAAGTCCACCAGAAGGTTCAACTCACTCCGAGACATTGTCGTGCCTAGCGGGTTTGACGGGTTCGTCACCAACACGCCTTTCACTCTTAGGTTGCGCTTGCGTGCCTCCTCGTACGCTTCTCGCAATGCCGGCTCCGTAATTTGGAAGTTGTTAGAGCTTCTGCATTGTATTGGAACTATCTCTGCCCCGGTTCTCCACTTTAGGTCTCTGTCAAATCTGTATAACATAACATTAAGCAAGGTCAGGGGAATGTGTATGTATGATTATTTAATATTTAATATTTAATATTTAATATTTAATATTTAATATTGAAGCTAGCGTATGCTTGCTTTTATACTTGGGAGAATATTATATTATATATGTACGCACCCTGGGTAATAAGGAGTGGGAAGGAGAAAAGCCTCTCCTTGTTCAGCCAGACAGAACATTAAGGTTTCGTTTGCGGAAGTGGCACCCGCTGTGAGAACGATGTGGTTGGGGTCGAAAGTGACTTTGTTTCCTCTAATCTCAGCCATGAAATCTACCAATGCCTTCTTGAAGGAAGGGAGACCATGGTAGTCTTGGAAGAGACCTAGCTCTCTGAATATGGATTTCCCATCTCGCTTGAACCCTGCCACGTCAGGGTTCTTTTCGAGCCACGACTCTAAGAGGTCGAAAGAGAGCTGCATATGAAAACATAAATTTGGTGAGCCAACATGTTGATTATACTATAAAGTTTGAACATATACATGTTAGCTAGTGTGTGGTTAATGGTTATGAAAGAAAAAAACAATGAATGTCTAATTACCTGATTCTCTGCGAGGCCCATTTGGATAATTCCTTTGGGATTATGAACCTCGTCGTAAGGGTTTTTCTCATATTCCTGCCATCCTAGAAAGTAAGAAGAATCTTGGCCGTGACTATTGCACGTAGCTTTTGTGGACAAGAGCCTCATTTTTGTGTTAGGATTAGGAAGGAATGAAGAGGTTGATATGCGAAGGAAGGAGAAGGGAAGTGAGAATTGAGAAGAGAAGAGAAGGAGAATGTTTGGAGACGAATTGGTGTGTGGAGTAGTAAGGTTGGGTATATATAAAGTCGTAGTGGGATAGAAGGCCACGTGGTCTTGGGGAAACTATTTTGACTAAAAAATATGGGGAGAGAATAAATAAATAATGGTTAATCTAAAAGCACCGCCCCAACCATGTCACGAGAAGTCCACGCTCTCTAGTATCACTCAAAAAAGAACAGCGACTAAAATGTTATTGACACTACTTGTGGAAAGTGTCTCTTCCACCGGGTATTTTCTCGCGTGGGGTTTCGAGTTTATACGAGTCAAGAAATAATGAATGTTTTCCTCTGTTTCTTGTTTTCATTGCCATCAACTCAAGCCGTATTATTATGTCTACACTGGTTAATTCAATTCTGTAGATGCAGATAATGAAGTGAATAACATTAACGAATAGAAGAAGGTGTATTTTTTGCGTACTTGGTAGAGACGCATAGAACTGCCGACAGCAAATCTCATGGAAAGTGGGTCATTGTGACCCACGAGGTCCATCAAGACTTAATATGGACCCTAAGGCATGGTCCATGTGCTCCCTGGTTACCCTAACCCCGTCCAATTTGTGTCGGCCATTTTCTACGACTCACTTTTTACATACCCAAACATGCCCCCAGTGTTTCTCCCTCCTCGTTTAATATATTGGCACTAGCAAACTAACAAATTTCTTGATTTCGAGTCATGACTATAGAATCTCAATTCGGCATCAAGACAATATCACTCATATGTTCCTCCCCTTTCATATACGTTTTAATAATACTCTCGCAGCAACAGATTGCATCACGTAATAAGCATATCAATTTCATTGGTCAAACTTTGCAATTTATATTAATATATATTATTATCGCCATAATGGGTTTGAACCGTATGTATATATACTACAGAAAGCTAAAAATGTAAAATTGTATATAACTGCAAGTTGCCATGTGACATGTGTGTCAATGGCTCAATGCCCGCTTTGTTTCCCTAAAATAGGTCTTCCTTTTATGAGCAAAATTATAAGTTTCCTTTTATTTTTGTTTATAGTTTGTTACAATTGAAATAGAATAGAAGAAAAGAAACATTTTTTGGGGTTCAAGACTCTGATTTTCAACAGCTACTCGTGGACTTTATGAAGATCGGTTCTCGCAAAATTTGTTTATTACCATAAAATTAATTTGTTCCTACCATCCTTCAAAAGAAATCAAACTCTTTATTCCTGTAACCAATAAATATTGGTTAGATGATAAAAAATATGATAATATAAAATCTAGGTTTTGATTTTCTTCTGTCACGACGATGATAATAGTTTGTTTTCAATGAATTTAAAATTATGATAACAAAGATTCTCAATCAGGGGAGGCCCACGCTAAAAGGAGTTGATGGAGGGTAATACTTTCTAGATATCTATGAAGGTTGAAGATTGGTGGGTTAGTTCAGGGATGGAACAAGAATATAAAATCTAGAAAGCAAGATTAAAATAAATAAAAAATAAAAATTACAACATAAATAATAACAATTTTAAGAAATTTGGGGAAGATGACCCTTAAGCGAAGAATCAAATCTTTGGTCGTTATTCCTTGTCTGTTTCCAAGTCTCTCAAAAACTTACGTGAAAATTCTTTTGTTTAATTTAAAACTATCATTTTAGTTTGTATATTCCATATTTATTATATATTAATATATAACTAAAATTTACAATAAATTGTATATAAAATAAATAACATATAAGTTATATTTAAAATTTGTTTAAATAGATACTTTTAAACATGTAAATTATATTTTAAATTTATGATAAAGAATTTATATTGTATCGTTAGATTAATTTTATATATAGATGATTATTTTAAGATATTAAATTTTAATTAATAAATAATTATGATAAATAAAATTAAATTATATATATAGAGAGTTAAAAAGAATTTTTAAAAGTTCTCTTGTCAAAGAAAAATAGATAAATTTTTTTTAAAGCAAAATAGTCATTTATATTTAATATATAAAGATTTATAATACCTATTATTATTATTATTTCTAATTTTTTGGGTCAAATTTTGTTTTTCTTATATTTCAATGACACATTCTTAGATTAATTTCCTTTTACATTTAAATTTTCACTTTTTTTATAAAAAAATATATCCATTCATATTTATCTGCTTTTAATTAATTTACTTAAAGTTATAAATACTTTGGATGAATTGCTATCATTCTCCTAAGAGAAAAAATAGAAAAGATTAAGAAATGTGGTGATCGATTTGACTCTTTTAAAGAAAATGTGTGTAAAATAAAACAAGCAAAGGTACATCAATTCTTTACGAAGAAAGTTAAATTTATGTCTTTTTTCAAATTAAAGCAAACATGTTCTATTTTTTTTCTTCTCATTTTAAAATAGCAAATCTAAAAGAGAGAAAGTTCCTAAATGTAGATTCGCCCCTAGGTTATTGTATAAACAAGAGGCTAAATAAGGAAATACAAAGCTTAAAATTTTTACGAAGTTGGTAGGAAGATTTAAAAACAATGGAAATGAAGCAATAATTGATTATGAGTTGCAAACTGTCATCCGCCCTTAGTTTTTTTAGCTACCTGATTTCATAGTATTCAATTCGATAATTCACATGCATTAGGTGAAGTGATAGGGTCACATAAGCCGAAAAAACAATTGATATCTTTTTAGTTATATCCCTATTAGTTGGCACTGTTAAAATGTAGAGACAAGGGTGAAAGCGTTTATCTGTTTTAGGCAATAAAGTGATCAAAGTGACACTTAAATATATAGCTGGGTGCGTGTGGTAGCTGGTAGTCACTTTCACTGTCACTGCGTCACTCTAGATCTAAGACCATTCTCGCTCACTCATTTGCTTTGCCTCTTTTATTTATGAATATTTTATTATATTCAAATATTAATTAAAATCATATACAAAATCACTTAATTAACATTAATGTGGTTTGATATGAAAGTTTATATACAAAACGTGTATTTTTAGCGAAGCCCTTTGCTTTTAACATCGTTGCCAAGAATTGTGAGCGCCAGCTAATGTTGCATTTTAACTTTGGCGTTTCAAGGTTTAGGTGGGTTGCCTTGAAACAAACAACGTAATTACAGTAACCCTACCTAGCAGCTAAAAGCATGTGTAGGCATAATATATATATATATAAGAGATATTTGTTTACTTCAAAAAATAAATCTACCTATACTTATTCATTCAATAAATTATATTCTATATTAAATCTTAACAATCAAACTATTAAATTTAAAATTTTTAATACACAGATTAAATCTACAAATTTTTAAAAATTTTAAAAATTATTTAATATTTTGTTTCATTAATTCAAATTAATGGATAATTATAAAAATATGTTATTCGTCAATTAGAATTAATAAAATTAAGTATCAAATAATTTTTAATTTTTTAAAAATTTATAAATTTAATTTGTACATAAAAATTTTTAAATTCAACAGTTAAATTATTACAATTTAATATAAAATATAAGTTATTGAACGAAATAAGTTTAAATATATTTATTCTTAAAATAAAAAAATCTCAAGAATACACAAAATTATAAGTAATTTATATATAA